AGATGAGAGTAATGAGTTACACACACCATCAGAGGGGGCAAAAGTACAGACGTTCTTTACTTAAGTAGAAGTACAGATACCTGTGTTTTTAAAAAAAATATTCTCCAGTAAAAGCACTGAAGCAACTTCTTTGAGTAAAAGTGAAAAGGTACAGTTTACAGGTTACAAGGTAACTAAAGCTTGTGCTATAAGAATATAATCAGAAAATATTATCAGTGCACAAGAATACAAATATTATTCTAATCTAAATTCTAATTCTAATGAATGTGCTTATTTTGATTTGAAAGATTTCAAAACAATAACTGTTTCCTGTTGCCTACTTTGTAGAGGGTGACTTTGCCTCTAAACAGGAAAATGCGCAGTCAGGGGTTGAAGTGGTGGAGGAACTCTAAAATTAGTAATGGCGCTCAGTGTGGGGAAAAAATGATGGCCCACAATAATTTCTGATGTAAGCTTCATAAAGTTTTCTTAGTGTAAAGGCTGCAATCAGCTGACCTGCTGCTCTTTGTGGATTTACACAACTGAACTTAACAACATGTACACAGTTTCACCAGCTATCATATCTGATGTCCATCCCCTACACTCACACTATGGTAAATGGTAAATGGACTGGTTCTTATATAGCGCTTTTCTACTCTTCTGAGCACTCAAAGCGCTTTACACAACTTGTGCATTCACCCATTCGCACAAGCACATTTTTCCTAGGTGCTTTCTAACTGACATTCACACACATTCATACTCCGATGAATGCATCGGAGAGCAATTTCGGGTTAGTATCTTGCCCAAGGATATTTGGCATGCAGACTAGGGGAAGCCAGGAATCGAACCACCAACCTTCCGATCAGTAGATGACCTGCTCTACCACCTGAGCTACAGCCACTATGCGGCTTCACACTAGACAGTATACAGCTCATACAAAGTTTCAATTCAGTTAAGTAATGTAAGCATCATTATCTTAAATGCACATTCATTTCTGCCACACTTGATGTAACCATAAGCAGTCCAACAGTGTTTTATAGTGAATTCACCACATGAATGCAAACTAACCTGTTTTCCCCGGACACAACAACACACTAGCTACTCTGAAGTACCACAACCATAACTCCAGCCCACTTTAATCCCTGAGTATAAACACTAGATGAACTTAAAGGAACAAGTCTGCTTTGGAAATGTAAGGAGGAACTATCCATCCATCCATTCGTTTCCGCTTATCCTTTTCAGGGTCGCGGGAGCCTATCCCAGCTGTCATAGGGCAAGAGGTGGGGTACACCCTGGAGAGGTCCCCAGTCTGTCGCAGGGCCAACACACAGGGACAGACAACCATTCACACTCACATTCATTCGCACCTAGTGACAATTTAGATTATCCAATTAACCTATCCCCACAAGCTGCATGTCTTTGGACGGTGGGAGGAAGCCGGAGTACCCGGAGGGAACCCACGCAAACATGGTGAGAACATGCAAACTCCACACAGAAAGCACCTGGCCTGATGGTGGAATTGAACTCAGGACTTTTTTGCTGTGCAGCAACAGTGCTAACCACCGTGCCACCATGCTGACCGCATAATAATTGTTTATTTAATAATCATTAATCAATTTAATTCAATTTTTTAATAAGCAAATGAACACAACAACAGTTGCGTCATGGTGCTTTATGCAGGCCTGGGGATCTGAAGACCATTTAAAGGTTCCTGGATGAACACTTCTTGTTTTTTAGAAATTTAACTGAATTTTTAGGATTTTACTGTACTAATAAATTATGTTCGTGTGTTTTTGTAGATTTTTATTATTTTTTATTAAAAAACTTGTGGTGAAAGCACCATGAGACTCATCAGTAGCAGAGTGTGAAATGCTTCCTGTTTCCCAGTTATTGATTGTAAATCTCTAAAATGGTCAGTAAATACAATCAGATGACACTGTGTTTAAAGAAGAGATTTAAGAAAGTTCAACAAATCAACCAAGTGAAAAATTCCACTTTAATTACCACAAGTCAAAGTGGACACAATTCTATCCCCAGAGACGAAACCAAGTGTTATACCAGGCAGTAAACATGTTTATTTAACCTTCAGACTGTATTATCATCAAACATTATATAGTGTTATTTACAGTGATTCATTTCCATGTACATTATTTTCCAGTCCCCTTCAGCCTCACCACTGTTGTTATGGAGGAGCAGTGGTGATGAGCTACTGGGTCTGCTGAGCTCTAAAACTAAAACTGGTACTCAGAACCTGAAGTTTGAACAGTGACGCAGCCACACAGCTTGTTATGTCCAGGCTAACAGTCCTCACAGCTGCAGAAAAAACAGCGAACATGTTCCCCTTGTGTGAATCTGTTGGACTGTTTCTTGTAAGTGAATTCAGTGCCTGAAGATGAACACTAACAGCTAAGTGTGATTTAATTAAGACGAACACTTACTGACTTTTGTAGATTCAGTTACTACGGCAACAGTCCCTCCTCCTCCCCCTCTGCCTGTTAGTGTTGAATTCAAAACAGCTTATCTGGCTCCCTCTGCTGGTTAAACTGTTGAACTACCACATTAACTTGTTACCAAAAAGTTGATTCTGTGACCTGTGAGGTCAGTTCCTTCATCATTGATATGCAATAATACTAATAATACCAATAATAACAACTTTTTCTAATGATTTTTCTTATCTCTATATTTAAAATATAGATATAATATGTATAATACAATATATATTACAAGTAAATAAAATAAATAAAATAAAATCATTTAAAGTAATTAAATATTTAGCATAATGATCATCTGAACCTTTGCATTAAGAAGTAAGAAGTCTTTTCATTTTTGTTGAATACCCCCGATTTAAAGCAACACTTACTGTTGGCTTCATCAGAAATTCCAGAGCATTCCTAATATTTTGGCCAGTCTATCACCATACATGAAGGGGAAATCATGTTAGTAACTCATTTCAACAAGAACCAGGCGCAGGGGCATGTTTATCACCTCTTTCTTTAACAGTTGCTGTAGTTTTGAAAGCATGATTGGAGTGCTCCATATCATTTATTTCATTTAAGGTACGAGTTTCTGTTGGCCAGCAAGGTGTTGGTGGAAACTGTGCTACTGTAGGCCAAAGATGAAGCGAGATGAGAGGGGGAAGGTTTGTTAGGAGGCAGAGAGAGGTGTTAAGGGAGCCTCCAGGCAGGCGGAAAGGAAGATGAGTCAATCAACATGCTTAAGTTATCAGTTTTAAAACAACAAGCAGTGATTGTTCTTTTTAAAAGCATTTGACAATAATTAAATGCTACACTTTAAAAATTAGCAGTGGCTCATGGTGAAAGCAGCCAATCATTTGACCTTAATCCTTGATTTGCTGTGTGACTGTAAGGTCTGGCTAATAGTTGTAGTTTCTGTTTATTGTTTTCGCTCAGCTTTTCAGCTCAATCTTTTCACCACTTCTTCCACACTGAACTTTTCCTACAAGCTGGGGATGGGCTGGTCAAGTTAAGAGATTTGATTGGGCAATCCAGTGTCAGCAATGAAAATGAATGAATGGGCTGCTGTGAGTGGTTGTACAGCTAGTGCGAGCCTTTCAGGCCTCCTCTGATAATTTCAATGACAGATGACGAATTAAATGAGACATCAAACATCAATGTCCTTTAATAATTACCACTGTGATCCAACTTTCCTGTCACTGGTTTAAAGGATTTCTCAAACCAGTTAATGAAGGTTTATATACACAACAGGTTACAATTGCACAAGTGCTGCTGATTGGCTGAGGAAGAATAAAGTAGTCATGGTAAACTACTGACCAAGTTACTGTAAGATGACATAGCAACAAGATGCTACCCAAGACAACCCTGAGTGTCCAGACGATCTGATATCCTTGTGTTGGTGTTGTTCCCTCGTCATCATAAATAATGTTGTTCCAGGTTCAACATTGCAAGTGACCAATCACCTTCTCCTGACATCATCCGCGACCTCGAAAAAAAGCAAACGCCTTCAAAAAATCTACTTCACTTGCGAGAAGAGAAACCACCTCTGTAAGGACAATATGTATAATGCTTACCGTTTATTAAGAAAAAGTATCCTGAAATTCAAAGAATTCAAGTTCCTGGATCGGCGGACAGAAGAGGTTTCTCCATTTCTGTGTTAAAAGTGTGGACTTCAAACTACCACTTTTTAAATTGTGTTGATAGGCCACATAAAACCAGAGTTATGATTAAAAATATACGCAATGTTTTTTTTCCTGAATACTAACTTTGTGTTTACAGCGGGAAGGGAAGCACTTGAAAGTATTCTCTGTTTGTGACACAAAAAAAAAGACAGAAAGCAAAAACCTTGGTTTTCTATTAGTGGAAAAAAAAATTCTACTTTTTTATACTCGAGTTTTATGTTTTTTGTCTGATTTGAGATCAATTGTTTTAATATAGTATTTCAAAATGAAAAAATAGCTGTAAATTTTGACATGTTAAGGTGTGCTGAAAAGAATGATACCAAACAAGACAAGATAAACGGTTTTTAAAGGTGAAATGTAGAAGTAAAATCCAAAGCAGACAAAATACCTATTATACCTAGCATTTAGTCACTTTTATAAAGGTTTTATGAACCCATAAATTGAGGGAAAAAATACTGGGCCAAGAATGGACCCCTGAGTCATTCCACATAAGAGCAGGGTTTTTATGAGGAAATTTGTACCCCAGCCTAACTGTAAAGTTAACTACTGTGCCATTTCAGTTCTGTGCTGTGCTTTATAACTTTAAATAATTTGTAATATTTTTTCTAATACAAGTTTCAACAGGACTTAAGTAAAAGGGAGTTTAGAAATCTGTCTACAGTTGGATAAAACTTTAGGAACAATATTTATGGTTAGCAGGAACAGTGTGAAGCCTTCTATAAATAACAGTGCGTGAAATATCTTTCAATTTGCGAGAAGGAACAATGTCCTGGATTGATTGTGCATCGATCCATTGGTAATTCCTCAGGGCTCCACTAGAGGGATTCGCGCCTCTTGTCCTTCACTCTGTACAGACGAGTGAAAGCGAGCGCTTTGTGTCAGTATCATCATTCATCTCTCCTCGTTTCCCCTGTTTAAGGTAACTGCACGCACAGAACTCTGTGTATTACAGTTGACTATTAGCCCACCATCATTGTTTATTGTAAGGAAAGAGGTGACTTGTGGACAGTTTTTGCTGAGAAGTTTCAGCTGAACTCCGTTGCTGTTTAAGCTAGCTTTCACTGGTGTCCCGCCTTATTGAATGAGTTTTTCTGCCACTATCTGTATTTAAGTTAACTACTGAAAGACATATACAGCGCATAAAGTATTATTTCATTACTGTTGAAAGTCAGAGAATGTGTCAGCTAACATATGTGAGTTAAAAAGATGTATTTACCTTATGTTACAGTTCAAGTTGTGCAGCGTCTAAATACTCTCATAAGTTAAAACAGGGCAACTTAGTTTGGAAACTGTGGTCCTGAGACTGAGTGTATCCATGCAGAGAGAATATGGTTTGGGTTGTGTTGTTTTTGTAACACTCAATACAGACGAGTGAAAACGAGATCTGCGTGTCACTATCATTCATTCAGCTCTCATCATTATTTCCACTTTTTAAGGGCACAAAAATACCAGCAATCTTTACATAATGTTTTGTAAATTCGCACAAATGGGAATAATGGCGATAAATGTTTTTCAGTAACTAGTAATCTAACTAATTAGTATTTCTGTCGTTACAATGGTGTTGCTATTACTAACAAGAAAATGCAGTGCGGTCAACACACAGAGGGTTGAAGCTGTCTTTAGTTCACAAATATTTAAGAGAAACCGGCCAAATTATAAGCCTGAAGACAAGACGTTAATGAAGAACACAGATGTAAGAGCGGTCAGACTCAGGACAGATAACTGGCAAACTTTTATTATAACTCTGTATCTTGGAAGGACTGAAATAATGTTTCAGTATCTAACATTTGATCTGTGAGTTTATTCTCCCAAAACAATACTTTTATTGTTTTGACATTTACAAACTGAGGTTATTTTTTATTACGAATATGACCTTCTGAATTTACTGAACCTTCCTGCCTTCTTGGGGCCATTTGTTGCCACTTACATGTGTTAAATGGCTGCCATTTCCACTGTGTTCAGTGGAATATAACCAAACTTGTTAAAGGATAGTTTTTTTTCTGTCCGATTTAATATTTCAGTGTTAATTTCTTAAATCAGCCTAAAATGGCTGAGCAGCAAAAATCCCCACACCCATACCCCTAGTGGTCATTTTGTGCCCGTTGACTTCCATTATAAACGCTATTTTTCACGGCTAAAAAATTACGGTCAAAGGGATCGTCATGAATCCAGCTTAGGTTTCGTTTTGTACTAGAGGCCTTAGAGTTGTAATTTTTTATTTGTCCACCAGGTGGCGCCCTTGTTTCACATTTGACGCCTGCTCGGAAATACCCCTTTCCAGCGGCCTGCTCGAGACACACTCGCGGGAAAAGGCACACTCATTCCCTGCATGCAGCGGCAGCTCGGCCCGCTGACCGGGCTGGACCATTTCCTTCCCTTAGGATCGTTTGATGGCGCTTTTTTTTTTAAATCAACAGGAAATGACGTATTTGTTTTCACGTGGTAGCGGAAGTGTGTGCTGCAGACACGGAAACCGAACCATATGCCCCGGCGCTGCGCGAGACACACCCGCGGCAGAGGCACTCCTCCCCGGGGAGCTGGAGCAGCAGCGCCGCCTGGAGACCATTTTTGGCTTCTGCAAAAAAAATTAACAATGGATTGAAATGAATGTTGGTGTCAATCTTTTGTCCATCTAAAGGCCTAATTATAATAACAATAAAATTTTACTTCAAATGTTTGTTTTTTTTTAATATTTAGTTTTTCTGTTTTTTGGGGCTGAAAAACAGGGCGCTCATGTAATACAACTGGGATTTAAAGGGTTAAAACAACGAAAATATAATTAAAACTTTATATGAATATTTCAGGGAGAAGTAGTTTTAAAAGACTGACCAATTTAAAGTGAAAAAAAAATTAATATTTAATATTTTTATTGCACTTTTTGGGGAATTGTCCTTAGGCATGCATTTTTTAATGTGCTCCTGCAAAAAAAAATAATGGCAGGTCAAAATGAATGTTGGTGCCAATCTTTGGTCCATCTGAAGGCCTAATTATAATAACAATCAAATATTACTTCAAATGGTTTTTTTGAAAATATTTATTTTTTTTGTTTTGGGGCTAAAAAAACAGGGCGCTCATGTAATTAAACTACGATTAAAAATAAATAAATAATTAAAATATATTTAAAACTTTATATAAATATTTCAGGGAGAAGTAGTTTTAAAAGATTGGCTAATTTAAAGTGGAAAAAAATATGAATATATAATGTTTTTATAGCAGTTTTTGGGGCGTGGCACAAAATGGTCATTAGGGATAAGGGTGTGCGCTTTATTAAAAGAAAACAGGAAATAACTTTTTGGTGCCACTTTGACTTCTTTTTGATATATTTAACATTTAATTAGTACAAGAACAACATTTAAATGGCATATAAACGTAATGTTAGGAAAATATAGAAAACGGATAACAAAAGGTCAAAGGAACAGCTATTCAGTGTGACTGACAGGTGATCTCCGTGCAAAGTAAAAACAGCACAACTGTGAGCTCTCAGCAACTCCCATCTCAACAATGATGTAGACAAAAAAAAGTGGAAAATAAAACACACATTTTAACCAATTGTCCATCAGTGGCTTCTGTCTATTTCAGTGTAATGAACTCTGCAGTATCTTCATGATCCAAAAAATCAAGTCCAGCATAGAGCGGCTGAGTGAATGTGGTCTGGACTCTGTGGAGGAGAGTCATGGTTTTAGAGACGCTGTAGAAAGACAGAATACCTGCTCTGTGATCCAGGTACACTCCTACTCTGGAGGACCGAGGGCCTGAGAGGACAGTTTGGATTTTGTTGTGCCAAAATTCATATTTGTTGATATAACACTTCAGTGACCACGATTTTTGATTGAATCCAAAAAAACACGTCTGATTTTCCTACTCTTCGGATATTCTTGTATGTGACTGCTACTTCAACTCCTTTTCCTCTCCACTCCACCTCCCAGTAATAACGTCTAGTCAGACTCTCTTTACTCAGGATCTGAAGCCATCCAGTAAATCTGTCTGGATGATCAGAATAGGATTGTTCTTCTTTGGTATACATAGCTTTTCTGTTCCCCTCAGATAATAACAGATGTGTGTTTGCTGTGTTTGGATCCAGTGTGATTTCACTTGAATATTTTAAGAATCCAGCTCTGGTCTTTGGCTCTGGTGGTGACAGTAAAACATCCTCTTCAGTGACTTTTATTTTTGCAAGTCAAATTCGGTACAAATATGACTTTTATTTTGTAGTACTTCACAATAAAGCCTATCAGATAAATGATTTAGCACCAACCTAAAAATAAACAAACCATATAGACTTTAACAAAATTAAGATTAAGAAACTGCCATGAAATCTTCTGTAAAGATGATCTAAATATTGCATAATCCATGAGCCCAAGTTCATCGAGCAAGAACAAGGATTTATATCTTCATACCCTGAAACACGTCTGCTAGAAGTAACCTGTGAAGCTCTTGTCTGACCTGAAACTGTTTCAATCCCCCTTAAACAACAAAATGACTGGATGTGCATCAGTGAGGGTGGTGTCTGCCCATCATTATGGGCAGCATTATTATTGAGATCTGATAATGCTGTTGCACACCATTATCAGATCTCAATGTTTCCTTCTTTGGAGTCAGAGTGGTATGATTTGGACCGATAATTGAACTGGGACGAGAAATGAAGGGTTTTGCTTCAGGAGCCAACTTGGTGTCTGCACCTCCATCAGGGGAATACAGGAAGGCGATGTGTATCTTTAATCTGTTAAAAACTAACAGAAACACTATAATGTGACATCCCTGCTCTACAGGATGTGAGGAGAGTGATGTGGAGTGCTTTTGTGTCTGACATAAACATGTGAAACCAGTTCAGACTAAAGAGTGAAACGCTCCTGCGAACGCCTTCAGACTGGTGAGCAAAGCACATGGAAGAGCTGCAGGTAGATGCAGGTGTGGCTGGTTGAGCGAAAGATGAATGAGTGAATCTTTTGTCCTGGGCAGGTATTTGTGTAGGAAGCTGTCATCAGGAGGAAGTGAGTTACCTGTAGATCAAGTTAGCAAGCGGGCGCTCATTCACATGTTTTCATACAGAGGAATGAGTAACTCCCTGGATTTGATCCAGAATGGCTGATGAGCTGCTAGACTTGCTTCTAGAAGGACTTTCGAGTCCACAACAGGTGCTCGAGTTCATGGACAAATTTCACTTCAGCCTGGAAATGTGAACATCGGGGTGCGACGAGAGGAAACCGTCAGTCTGTGGGCTTAATCGTCTGGAAGTCAAACATATGTTTACCACATTTCAAGCTCTGATTTCAAAGAATCAGAGCTCAAATATGTTTGGGTTTAAATTTGAAGCTATCGAGTGTTTAATCAAGGTGACCTTGAGAATCGTCAGTAAAAGACATTATCATGAAATAATGGGACTCTCCTGCGTGCGAGCTGCACTAACTTCAGATTTGACCTGAATAAGATTTTAATATGTAGGCCAGCGTGACCTAATAGGACAGTGAGAAGCTCAGAGTGGCTAAACGGACTAAACACAGGCGGAGCAGTCGTGTCAGTCGGGGTGTGTCGCTGGGAAGCTATTTGTGTACACACACACAGACACAGACATACACCACCCGAGGCATCTCTGTTTGAATACTCACTTTTGTGTTAAAGGTGTAGAGAAAGTGTCTGTTTCTGTTGGCGTGTTTTTGTAAACCTTCCTGTTTAACACCCGCAGACTGTTAAACACACAATATGCAATCAGAGTGCATTCAGAAAGGTGACAGGCTCTCGTTTACCTTATTTCAGACCATGAAAAGCTCCTTAAATAAACAGGGAACATTGCTGGAATATAAATCCCTCCTTTGTCCTCAGAGAAAAGATGCCCGGACTCATCTTAAGCCAGCTAAGCTTTCGCCATTGTTGCAGATTCTCGGTCTACCCGCTGCACCAAGACGAGGATAATGTAACGTT